CAACGTTTGTTGTTGTTGTCCAGATGGATTCGACTGGACTACCGCCGACCCGCCTGCCCGCCTACCCACCTACCACCTACCACAAAACCCCTGGCCCTCCCCCTCCCGCCAGTAGCGCCCCGGTTTGTTTGCTTTTTATAGGCCTGTTAGCCACTGGCTGACATAAATGTCTTGCCGCCTCGTGTTATTTTTTGTAAATCCTTTCAACGTGTCGTCGAAATGTCGGAAATGTTAAAATATTTGCACAGCCTGCCGGCAAACGGTTATGGCCATTGCCATTGCCATTGCCCATTGCCCAGCAGCCAAACGGAAGCCGCTTGCCACTTGCCACCTGCCACCCACACACACTCAAGCACACACACACATGGGGATTTGCTGGGTATTGGGGCGTGCGTGCGTGCGTGGCGGCCCAAACGTAGCGCATTCTCAGCTACAGTGATATATCTTGCACAAATATTGATATAAGTACTTCATACAGCTATAACATATACGACAGACAGACGGACAGAGGGACAGACGGACGGATGCTGCTTAAGTGTCACTGTTATTGTTTGCCCAAGCAAGTGATTGCTGTTTTATACCTTTACCTACATCTCTCTCACTCTCTGTCTCTGTCTCTGTCTCTCTCTCACTTTGCTTCTCTTTCTCTCTCTTTCTTTATATTACATTCATGGCAGCAACAGTTAACAAATGAATTGTCCAAGCATTCTATTTGTATATGATGCAAGTTCTGCTGAAACTGAAGCATAGGAATTTACATTCATATATATGTATATATGTATATATATTTTGTATATGAAAAGTGAGTTGAAAGAGGAGGAATGTATTGGGAAGAACGAGTTCCATTGCCAGTCCTAAAATATTTCATATCATAATCGATATATGCTCAACATCAAATCCTCAAACGTTCGCTCAGTGCAGTCGTGTGGACTCTATAAATTTTTGAGCTTGTTGCAGATGCACCCAGTCGCCTTCGCTTTCGCTTTCAGCTGAGTATATACAATAGTATATATATGTATGTGTTAGTTAACCACAGAAAAGAAAAAAAAAAGCAAAAAACAGAAAACAAAAGCCAGGGCTTAGCTCTCGAATGGGACAGCATCTTTGTGCTGAGGCTCGCGTGCAGTCCATTAAATGAAACTTAGTTCATATTGTTAGGCTCGTTGGCGCGTGTCCTGCGTGTCCTGCATGTCCTTCGCTCCGGAGCCACTGTGCAGCGAGCAGCGAGCGCAGTTCTTTGTGTTTGCGTAGTAAATTAAATGATTTTTCACGCCAGGGCCTAGCCGAGGGGCAGCGGAGCCGAGCAGGAGACTTGGCCCGAGACCAGACCACGCCATGCGGTGCGTCCACAACATTTTTATGTGTTTGTTTGCGGCAACAGGAGCCGGGCGGCTGTGGAGATGATGCTGTCTGTGTCCCGGCCGTCCCGGCTGTTCGGGCTGGCCGGCTGCCTTTTTGGCAATGTTTTAACGTTAATTCATGGTCGTATTTTTATGTTGCACTCGTTGCGCGACGCCGGGCGATGCCACGTCGCCTTTATTGGCCCGGCGGCAGTGCTAAAGTGTTTACTAAATAAGCAGATTTCTCTGTTGTCTCTGCAGCAGGTCGTGGCGCGTGGCGGCATGCGGCATGCGGCATGTGGCATGCGGCATGTGGCGTGTCGCGGATCGCAGGTCGCGCTAATGGAATGGCTTTCGCATGGCTTACCTGCGAGGCCCCCATCGGCCGGTTGACTTATTTAATTAAATCAACGCTGCGGCCGGCTTTAAAGCGCCCTCTAAGGCCCTAAGCTGCGGCTAAGTAGCCGAAACGACATTGCCATCATGATGGCCTTCATTGTTGCTTAGTCTAACGGCAGCCGCAAAGCCCACGCGAACAATGGCCGTGGCTAAGGCCATCCGTGACAGAAGTAAGGCCAAAGACTGCTCATAAAACTTGCAAATTGCGGCCGCACATTGATGAAATGTAAAAACCCTCCAAAAAAAAAGGAGAAAGAGGAAGAGGAAGTGGGAGAGGATAGGTAGTGGGGAACACTGCTAGTGGGACACAGTTGCGGACACATGTTTCGCGTATCGCAGCGCTCATAAAAATGTGCAACTTGCAACAGTTGCTGCCAGCCAAATGCGAATGAGCGACAACAGCGAACAACTGACATGAAAAACTTCAGCCGAACGAGGCAACGCGGCAGCCAAGAGCGTTGCAACAACGTTGTCCCTCAGCCAACTGTGAATGGGGCGCGTGACACGGCATTGGCAATGCAAATATGTGTACATACATATATATGTATATGTAATCAATGTCAGACAACATATTTCATATGGACATTATTTGCGCAACAGTTGGCTAACAATTTCTAGTTTTTATTTAAAATTTTGGAAATTTTATTTTTTTATGGCATAACTTGACCTTGGGCATCAACTTTTTTTTAAATTTTTTTATTATTATTATTTTTTTATGACATTTAGCTTTACTTTCAACCTGAATATATTTTTTTTTTTTTTTTAATGAGAGACAATTTTTTCTCTTAATTTTATTTATTTTTCTAGTTTATTTAGCTTTTAGTTCTATACTTAACTTTACTTTCATTTGTTTTCTTTTTCTTCATAATTTTTAATGACAGAATTTGACTGTCACTTCATTTGTTTTTCGATAAATAGAATTTGGCTTGACTTTTAATCGAAGATTATTTTCCTCCACTTTTCATACTCACATACTAATTGAATGTATATACATAAGCTGCAAATATTTTATGAATTTTATTTCACTTTAAACTTTAAAATTTTAACGGAAATTTCTTTAGAAATATGTTTCTTAGCTTTGCATTAATAAAAAAAATTAAAATTAAGAAATTGGAAGTATAAAATATTTCGAAATTTTAAGAAAAAATAATAGATCTAATTTTTATAATAATTTTTAACAATATTTAAAAGCAATTTCTAAAAAATGTTTAATAATATTTGTTAATATTTTAATAATATGTTAAGCATTTTGAGAATAAAAAAAAAAAAAAAACATAATTGCACATATATACATACATGTTAATATGTATACATATGTATATACATATGTGCGTCCATTCAATTATATAAGAATATACGCTTTTCTCTATTTAATGTAAAGCATATACTTAACAAATCATGTAGAATCAAGGCGTAATCAAGTAGATTGAATTTGATTTAAGTTTCATTTAACCTTAAATTTTAAGATTTAAAAAACTTATGGTTGTTTTTAATATTAAAAAAAATATATATATTAATGAATATAAGTATAACTTAATCTCAATTAATTTTGAATTTTGTTTATTTTTCTTGCAATTTATATTCATTATTATTATATATATATTTTTTAATATTTTATGTTATTATTATTTTTCTTTTTTTAATTTTAAATATTATTTTTTTATTAGGTATTGATATTATTCTATATTATATTCCTATATTATTAATATCATAACACACACACACACACCATTGGCATTCACACACACTACTACGAGCACGCTCCCATCTCTGCCAAAATATCGCCAGCCTTTGGTTTTCGCTCGCCGCACAATGGGCAGCCGCTGAATATCTGGGCGTGGCAATAAGTTAACGATGCGCAGCTAGAAGAGGTGCAAGTGCGAAACAGGTGGGCACAGTCGAGCGCTGTTGAACTGTGGGGTGGGTGGGCGCTTGGCCGGGTGGCAGAAGGTGGCTAAAATAAATCTTGCACAATAAGTTTTGGCGATGGCGTCAAAACGCTCAAAGCGACCAAGCGACAACAACGACAACAGCAACAGCAGCAGCGGCAGAAGAAGAAGATGAAAAAGCATAGCATAGCATGGCATGGAACAAGAGCAACGCAAATGACACGAGCTCAGGGAGCGAACGGCAGAGCGGCAGAGGGGGAGGGGGGGGAGAGGGGGAGAGCGCGCCGACAGGCGGCTGCCTGGCAAAAATAGCCTTATCAGTTCCTGTTTCCTGTCGAAAGTTTTCATATTTTTGCGCGTGGATGCAGCAGCGACAGAGGCAGCAGCAGCAGCAATAGCAGCAGCAACAACAATGGCAAAAGTAAACAGCGCGCTGAGGGCGAAAGCAACACACGGAAAGTGTTGCCACATTTTTACATTTTTCTTCTGCTTTTTGTTGTTTTTTTGTTGTTGTTTTTTTTTTGTTTGCAACATTTGATTTTGCAAGGTTCGCTTGCACACGCCCCCTTGGCCCAGCACAGCCACACACCCGCCTTCGTGCCCCGCCCTGTTGGGCAACTGTGGAGCATAACAGTAACCACAATAAAAAGCAGGAAATATTTAAACATTTTTCTTTTAGTTTTGCATGAAACGGCTGCGACGTCGACTGCGCCGCAACCATTTTCACACTTATTGTCAGATTTTGCTTTGTGTTTTGCCTTCGCCGTTGCCGTCGACGTCGTCGTCGTTGTCGTCGTTTCGCTGTGAAATGACGCACAGCCGAGATAACACGTCGCACTGGCAAAAGCTGCAACAATTTTTATGTTGCAGCTGTAAATGTGGTCGACACCACCAGACACCCACTGTCGACCCACCGAGAGCCCAACAACCCAACAACCACGCCCCCCCCCCCCCCCCCCAGCGGCTGGTGCCACAAGTCTTTGCCACCAGCCGTGGCGCATATGTTGCGCATATGCCTGCCAAACGCTCAATTTGTTTTGCCTTTTGTGTGTCGCCGTCGTCTCTGCATGTGTGTGTGTGTGTGTCTCTCTATGTGTATGTGTGTGTGTGTGTGTGTCGGTTTGTGTATTAATGGCACTCTTATATTCACAGGATATACGCATAATTTTGCAAACGGACTATACGCCTGCCTGTCACGCCCACTTAACTCACGCCTGAAGTCGCCTTTACCACCTTGTTCCGCCGATACATTGAGAAAGCTTTAAGCCGCAACTGAATCGAAAGATGACTGGTCGTCCAACTCGTAATCGAAGTCGTGGCCGGAATGTGGGTCGAAATTCGGTTCGTACTCGGAGTCCGAGTGTGGGTCGAAATGCGGGTCGGAGTCGTAGCCGGAGCCCGAGTCGGAGTGGGACCCGGAATAGGAGGCTTAGGCGAAGTCGGGGAATTAGTCGAAGTCGCAGTACGAGCCGACGTCGTACATTCAAGCGCAGTCTGAATCGTTTTACCCGAAGCCGGAGTGTGACTCGAAACCTGAGTCGGGATCGGAATCGGAATCCAAGTCTGACTTCAAGGCGAACTCCAAGGCGGAGTCCCATTCGTGCTCCAAGGCGGAGTCCCATTCGGACTCAAATGCGGAGTCAAATTCGGACTCCACTTCCGACTCCAAGGCGGAGTCCCATTCGGACTCCCCTTCCGACTCCAAGGCGGAGTCCCATTCGGACTCCACTTCCGACTCCAAGGCGGACTCCACTTCCGACTCCAAGGCGGAGTCCCATTCGGACTCCAAGGCGGAGTCCCATTCGGCCTCCACTTCCGACTCCAAGGCGGACTACGATTCGGTCTCCAGGCCGGGGTCAAATTCGGAGCCCGCGTCCAAGTCGTCCAAGTACTCCAAGGAGGGCTCCAACTGGAACTTCAAGTCAGTGGCGGAATCCGAGTCGGAATCTATGTCGAGCTCGTTGGCAGAGTTTGGTTCGGAGTCGATGTCGGAGGCGGAATTTGAACCGAATTTTCAGTAAGATTCAAAGCCCCAGTGAGAGACTTAATCGAGGCGTAGTTGCGACCTTAATTGACAGTTTCAAGGATGCCTTGAATGCTGTGAAAGAAAGATATTTTGAATGACTGCATAGTTTGTTTAAATGGATTCGAAAATTTTATACTGCGAAATGTTTCGATGTAAATTTTGAAAAATAAACACTTTGTCAGTTGACATTTGTATGCAGAGTGCAGCCGATACCTAAAAGACTCGTTAATAACAGCTTGCCACGGGTTCAGGGTATCTGCTCGTCGGCCTTTCTAGTGCTTTCTAGCGCTAGCTTGAAATTTGATAAGAAATGCCCAATAGATTTATGTATAATTTATAGATTTTTATTATAATGCTATATTCACATATGGATATTTTTAGCAGCCCATTCTGGGCGTGACGAATTGGTAAGTGCAATATATTTACAGACTGGAATTAGTAATAATCAAATAGAAATTTATAGTATTTATACATAGATGTTGTGAATTTTTACTGTGAATATCTATTGTGCTGCTAATGCCTTGGCTTTGCCTTTCAGTTGGAATCGAATACGCTTCTTACCATGTTTTTGTGATGACAATCTAGTTTATTATCGATGGCACTATCGTGAAATATCGATAACATTCTAGCTTGCAGTCGATAATTAACTATGGTGCTCTGGCTTAGATATGGATTATACATACCTACCATACATATTAGTAACATACATCATATAAGTAAGCGCCTCTAAACCCCTTTCTAGTCATCAGTGCGAAGTCAGTTATTACTAGAGCAGATTTTACACTCGCCTTGAGAACTGAATAATATTGCTAATATTATTTGGCCAAAGTTTTTATTGAATTTGCTGCAGTATTCGATTTGCTCACTAAATTAAATTTGGGCTTGTTTGTCAGGCTAGAGGTAAAATATTTGTTTAGATTTTTGAAAAGGCGCCCATATCGGCTATGACAGCAGGCACATATTAAACTTTACTCTTATACCCTGAGCCCAACGGGAAAGGGAAGTGGGGGTATAGAGGATTTCTTGAAGTTTATGTAACAGGCGGCGTGACAGAGCCCAAAGGGTAGATATAATCTTGATCAGCACGAGCAGTGAAGTAACGTTACTGGTAGAGGCGATGCACGTCAGCTGGAAGACCTGGGAAGTGAATTCCAGGAGGCGTGGAACGTTTTAATGCTTCTATATATATATGCTTATATACATACACATTGTATATATACTAATTAATTTTAAATAATTTTATATTATTTATTATAAGAGGTGACAGTGTTGGTAAACGTGTTACAATTTGAAGAAGATGTTGGTTCGGATCCAGGTGCTGCACTGTTTTTGGCTTTTCTTTCTTCGTTTTCTTCCTACTTTCGCTTTTCTTTTGTAAATTTTAGTTAATTTTGCATTAGTTAATATAAGCTTAGAGGATCTGCTAGTCGACTAGAACCTTTTTACTAGATCGCAATGATTGTTTTGATTTCTGACAAAGTCTTCATACTATCTATGTCAGCTAGTAGAGGACACACTAAACTTCTCTCTCTCTCTCCCTCACTCTTATATATTTTATTTGCATATGTTTTACAAGTTGTTTTGTTTTGGTCTGTGGCACGTAGAGTCTGAAAGTAATTGTGGCAATATGTACTGCCATTTATTGATATATATGTATATATGTATATATGTGCGTATGGAGGTGCCTATGTGAGCCTTTTGACAATAAGTTTCAGTTTCTAGCATGTGTGTGTGTGTGTGTGTATCTGTCTGTGTGGGAGTAATACGAGTAACACTTATCAAAAGTTTGTTGCTAACACATGCAAATTGAAATGTGTGACTACACCCACACACACACACACACACACACACACACGCACACTCACACAGTTGCAGCTGCTGCTGGCGGCACATTGTTGCCAGCAGTTTGGCACACGTACAGAGTACATGAGTCTGGCGCACACGTGCACGTAAACACAGGGCACAAAACGTAGCCACGCTCACCTGGAGCAGCAGGAGCAGCAGCTGCAGTTGCTGCCACTGCGGCTGTGTAGCCTGTGTGTGTGTGGGTGGTTCGTGTGTGTGTTCGTCTTCGAGTGCCTGGCCTCTAACTTCCGCCTGTTTTAACACCTAACAACCAAGAAACCAACAACTTGCGCTGCCGCTGCCGCTGCTGCTGCTGCTGCCGCTGCTGCTGCATACTTATTATAGCTGCAGCATGTGTCTCTTTGTTGTTGGCTGGCAACACTTTTCCGAAATCCAAAATTCACCCACAAGCTTCTAGTGCGTGTGTGTGTGTGTGTGTGTGTGTGTGTGAACGTGTGCGGATTTCAACATGAGTTTTAGAAACAAAAGTTTTTGATTTCTTTGTTCAGCTCGCTGTTGTTTTTGTTGTTTTCTTTTTAATGCTGTTTTTTTTTTTGGTTTCTTTTGTCACAGCAACTTTTTATTGGAGCAGCATATGCGATGCTTTGCAGCTGCAGTGCCCACCAACCGGCACGCCCCCCCAGCGGCTATGTCGCCTCCATTTGTACCTTTTGTAGTTGGCATAATTGCAGCTTTTGGAGCTGTCAAACTTTTGCATACGCACTTTGATTTCTTTAGATAGAAACAACAACAACAACAACAACAATGGCAGCAACAACAACAACAACAATGGCAGCAACAACAACAATTGCATTAAACCCAAAAACTTGTGTAGCTAACGACAAATAAAACAGGGAAGGGAATGAGAGAGTGGTGGGCGGGGGTTGGGGGTAGCGAGAGTGCAAAAAAAAACACACACACACAAATACACGCACACACATTTTAATTGCATATTTGCGGCAGATTGCTGGCAGAGGCTCAGCTGACAGCCTTGCCAAAAACTTGCTCCATTTCTAATTGAGTTACATTTATTGCCGAAAGCTAGCTGGCCACGCCCACGCCGCTAGATGCGCCCTAAGTAGGATTCGTAATTTAATATGAGTGACATTCGCTGTTCGCTGACAAGTTTAATACCTCAGCTCACCCCACCTTAGAGTCAGTATTCTGCTCGGCGCCCCCCATGCACCATCCCCCTCTCATGTCACGACTATCGTCTATTGGATAATTAAGCCACTTGGCGACAGGTTTGACAGCCTTACTTTGAATTGTCAGCTCCCTGGTTGAGATGCAGACGTTGATGCTGACGCTGCTCCTCCTCCTCTTCCTGCTGCTCCTGCTGCTCCTGCTGCGGTATTTGCGGCTCACGTTGTGGCGCTGTGCGCTCAATTTCATTTTGTTAGACAACTTGAGATTGTCGATTTGGGCCGTGGACATGTCTTTGGCTCTTGGCTGCTGGCCTTGTCCCTGGCGGCGACTCGCGCCTGACAGCCTGGCCAAAAGTTGAAGTTCAATTAAATTTCAGTCTTGCAGCTTTTGTTATGTTTGTCATTTGCAGTTTGATCGGTTCCTGTTTGCGGCCATTATCTATGGGGACATTGAGAAATTGAAAATTATGATGCTGATGCTGATGCTGATGCTATCGCCGCTGTGGCTGCTTCCCTCTCGCTCCTCGTCCCACTCTCGCGCACTGTGGATTGTTTCTGCAGCGCTGATTGCAAAATGCAATTCGCATTAAAAACTTTCAGTTGGCCAAGTTGTGGGCAAAAAGTTTTTGGCATTGGGCTGCATGATTGACGCGTTCGCTTGGCCAGGACAATTGCAGTTGCAGCTGCAGCTTAATCTATGGGACCTGCCACATTTGGCAAAGGCAACAGAGACAGAGACAGAGACAGAGACAGAGAGGACTTGCAGCATCGGGTTCCATCAGGCATTCACTTGCGGCAGTTAATCAAACAGTAAACGGCAGGCTTTCATCTACCTTTTTGGGGCTGATGATGATTAGGCCTTTGCCTGATGCCAGTCCTGAGTTGCATGATAACCGAGAAGCCGAAAGCAACAAAGAAAAAAAAAAAATAAAATGAAAAGTCGAAGCAAATGCCGAAGCGCTTGGCACTCCTAAGGCAGCCGGCCGTGTCTGAGTCAGGCGCCCAACCGCGTTGCCGCTTGCCGCTTGCCGCAAACCCAAGCCACCAAATGCCACCACAGCTTGTAGCAATTGTCGTACCATTTGTCAGAAGCACGCGTCGACACTCCTCCCTCGCGGCACGCTGCGCATGTGCCGACGGCGGCAGTGGCCCGACGCCTCGCCGCTGCCATCACCAAGCAATGGAGTCCACCACGTGCCGGCCGTGTGGACGGCGAGTGGCACATGGTGGATGCCATTCGTTTCGAAAATCCACTTCGACAATTGGCAACGACGTTTTGCAGCTCGTCCGTTCGGCAATCGGGCTCGGCCGTCGCCAGTCGCCAGCATCCAACGGCCGTGCAAACGACAGCCAGAGCCGACGCGTGGCCAACCACCCGAACGGCTGTTCGGCTCGCCGTTCGGGATGCTGTACGGCCGCCAGCGATGCTGATGCGCTTTCAGTCGATCGACAACGTTCCCAACAGCCAGTTGGCTTCACGCAGCACACCAGACACTGGCACACACTCACACACACACACGCACGCACACAGAGTGCTTAACGGTTCATTCGCCGATACGCGCGTGTTTCCTCGTGAATCGCATCTCCATTATCAGCAATAATAAATACACTAATGCGTGTCCGTGTGTGCTAAATACCCATATATATATATACACTATATATACTATATATATATATGTATATATCTACTTTTTTTTTTATTGTACTCAACTGCATTTTGTGCTAGTGTGGAAATAATGTTAATGTGCAACGCTTGAATCGTCCAAATGCCTGGCCAGAGCCAGAGCTCAGAGCAGATATTGTCAAAACTCTCCCGTTAAATAGCATAGCTTAAGAGCGAACCATCTGTATCAATCAAGGGCAAATGCGCATTGTCTCCAAGCTGCAGCTGTATCGCTTCTATCTCGTGCTCATCGATCGCAATGACAAAATGCTGATCGCAGTTCTGTTGATAGTCGCGCTCGTCGAAGGTAAGAACTCCATTCATTTCAATAAATAGAATCTA